TGGGAAGTCTGTTATTGAAATCCAGCTTACACCTGGCTGCCCCCTAACAAACCCATTTATCTCCATTAAAAACAACAGCAACCTCTCAAAAGTACCACATCAACTGCCCTGCCAAACCTCACCATCTTAAACCTACACTACCCAGGCAACGCCTTAACGTAGTTTCCAGAGCTATAGACAAAACAGGAAGCAATCCTGTCCATATACAGAATACATCTCTACAAACCATGAACCTGAATGGCTGAGAAAGTCCACGGTTAAGCCCAGATGAAAAGTAAATGTAAGTAATTTTGAAAAGCCAAGGTCTCTCTATCTCATGCTGCTCCCAATGGCTGTTGAGGCAGGAAAGCAGCAAGTGGGCAAGGCCAACTGTCAAGAACTTAGAGCACTCTTGCTCCAGCAATCATGTGACCTCAGAGGTCATGTGACACCTTCACTCATTATTTCCTCAGTGGTATGTCAACAGTTATTTAAATATCTCTCACACTCTTAAGCCCAACTTAAGGCTGCTTGAAAGAGTGAAATAAGTCTTGTTCTGTGAATCATAAATACTTCTGCATGTGCTGCTATCGTGCTGTTTTGTTTTTGTTTTTCTTATAAGCTCATAAATGATAAGTAGTATCTCCAAATGAGCATCTGTTAACTATATTAGTTAATGACGTGGAGCTATTTACCTACTCGTTTTTAGGTCAAGAGTCAAGAATGGAATATTAGAAGATGTTGGAGAACTAACTGCCATTCAAAGCACTATTTATGCCACAGAACCCTGGTCCAAATTCAGAAAATGTTAGCACTAAAATAAATCTCCCTTTCTTTTTCTTGTCCTGACTTAGGGCACAATCCTAACTAGCCAGGCTGGCCTTAGGCTGGCTGAACCAGACTCTCGCAATTAAGAGGGAGATGCCTGTTAAGGGTACAGTGTGCTATTTCCCCCAAATGCAAGTCCTTTCTGCAGCTGCCATGAAACCCATTGCAACACCAGTTTGCGCCGTAGAAGGCTAAGCCCCTCCTAGCACATCTTGTGCAGTCAGAGTGCCCCCATGACACCTGCCTTTCTCTCGTTTAAAAATCCACCCACCCCTCTGTTTGAGAGAACCACAGGAGGCAACCAAATGGCCTCACATTACTTCCTCTTCCCCCGGCCCTAGCTCATGATTAGTGGCAAGATTAGTGACTGGAGCTGTGTAAAGTTATACTTGAGGCAATAATTCTTAGGCGCTGCTTTCCAGGGATCCTATGGTCTGTTGTCCATCTGACACAACTCTACACAATTACAGTTCAAGGCCTGACCCTTTCACTGTCCATCTTCTTGCTCTCCTTCCTGGTTGGGTAATTTTGAGTTTGCACTTGGACTCTTCCTTCTGTTTTTACTCATAATTGGGCAGCTTGGGTCCCTTCTACAATACTAAATTTGTGGCTTATGATTGGAGGGCCAGCTTGAATCCATACCACTGTCAATCTACCTGCCTCTTACTTCCTGGTTCATGATGGGGGGGGGCAATTTGAATCCCTCCCACCCTTACCTTTTGGCTCATGATTGGTGGGGCCAGCTTGTATCCATCCCAGTGATATCTTGCCCACCCCCCACCTCCTGACTGATGATTAGGGCATCAGCCTGTATCCATGCTAGTGTCTTTCCAGCCCCCTCACCCTCATGAGTCATCCCATTCACACAGCTCATGATTTGCAAACCATGCATTCCTTCCCACCCTTCCCAT